TTTGGCATTAGTATTAGAAAAGTATTAGTCTAATACTAATGCCTATAACTCCCGAAAACAGAATAAAATTGCTCCATTCTGGTAATTTTTTTCCTGAAACAGAACACTTGTGGGTACGGGTGTGGGTTTAGTTGTAGTTATTCCTTTCATGCGCACCCACATTCACACCCACGACATGATTGGTGTCAAATCAAAATTCAAGGAATTAAAACATACATCATCCATGAGTATTTGTGGAAAGAGACAACAGGGTAAATCTTTATATTTCGGCTAAAGATCTTAGCTTTCAGCAATGCTTTTGAAATTTGTCTGTAGCAATCAAAACTCTGTATATTTATCTATTATCCACAAAAAAAATTGTTGGATGAAGTTCAGTCAATAGTCACATAAATAAAAAAACTTTCCTCAGGGACTTTTGAAACACCCTGTATATCTCTAATTAACAAAAATGCATGCGAAGCAAATTGCTAATCATTTACTCAAATCACTTTCTCATAATTAATTATCGACTTACAGTTGAAAACATTGATGAACCATTCAATGACTTTTTTTTGTCTATTCATGTAAGTTTTAATCTTTTTTTATAAGATCCAACATTTGTATCATTCATTGTTTAGACAAGCGGACAACATGTTGATTTTGATTAACTTCGAGTTGAATATCATGTTCCAAATATTGATGAAATTGATTTTGCTTGTGAATTTGTCGAAACTTTTTTTATTATTCTGAATCGATATTATTGAATGAAAAAACAAGTCAAAAAATATTAAATAATGAACGATTAAGATCACTGACAGTTATTTATTATATCTATTGGATGTTTGAATATGATACCATATATTGATAGCCAAAATGTGCAACATCTATGAGTAAACAGATTGAACAAGTTAAAACAATGTCATATTGTTTGTTATTTCAATGTATCATCGATTATTTCATGCAATTTAAAACATCTAACTTATCATAATCAATCAAGTAAGAAAAATAATAATGTTTTTGGAGAAATAATAACTTATTTTTATATTTAGAATTCAGAGAAAACTTATGAATATGTGCTATTATTCATATTAGAAAGTCGCTTGGTAGGTTTTTTTTTTATTCATCAATAAAAATATTGTAGATAATTAAAATAGCACAAATAGAATTAAAATAACAATTTATTAACCAATGATGGAAAATAATCATGAAAATTTTCTGGATACATTGATGGTTTTGAAAAAAGAATAATGTATTTCAATTTTGCACAATTGCCTTTCTCAGCATTATTTGTAAAATTCTCTATCGCATCGATTAAATCTTGATATTGAACGGATAATTTGTTCCGATATGGTAGATATGCATTTGATTCAAAAAGAAATTGTTTGATATAGTCAACATATACACAATTAAGACTGAGATACATAAGATGAGGATATTCAATAATTAAAGATATTTGTTTATGTTTATTTTGTTGATGTGTCAACTTCTTCTTTTGTCCATGAAGACTGACTACGTTCAATATATTGAGTAATGGAAAAGCTCGAGAAATTCGAGCAAAGAAATCGTGTTCGAATGGAACAAGGAAATCATATAATTGCAATTGACGAACACTCATAAATAAACCACCAACAAAATTGTTCGCAACATTACACATATATTCCATAGTGAACGGAGGTGAATAAACATGACATTGATTTATTTCTTGTGAATAACGATCAATATAATAATTAACACTATATCCTCTTTTAATAAACGTACGTTGAATATCATCAGAAGTTCGTAATAATTGTATAATTTATACCATCAATGAATGAAATTCGATTTAGAACAATAAGAGATAATGTAAGTTTTTCCAATTGTGACATTTGATGAAGAAGTAATACAATTCCAATATCATACTTATCTGTTTGATTAGTTGAAATTAACGAAAAACATCGTAGATTAGATAGAGTTCTCTACAAAAAAAAAAGATTTTAATTAATATAAAGTAAGTCATATTATGAGTAAAAAATACTCTTCTGATGTGTACAGGAAAAACTTTAGATTTATATCATTTTTTTTTATCATTCTTTTATAAATCAAAATCATTTACCTTTTTCTGAATAGTCATTGATAAATCATCAATATTATCAATTTTGACAATAAATGTATGCTATTGATTAAGACATCCATCAAGTAAACAAAGACAATCATTAAAATTACGCACTCTAACATTCAAATAAATAATACTTGATGAATAATATGTTGTAATTTGTAAACATCATAAGAATATTTGTGAAAATATTGGTAGCAACATTTTTCATACGTAAAGCTGTATTATCATCATTAATCATTATATTAAGATGTGATATTTGATGTTTGTATTTGTGAGTAAATAAGATAGTATAGGATTTAAAATACTAGATGCTATTTTAAGTAGAAGATTAATAAGAGTAACTTTATGAAGTTTACAATAAGTTTCAATAAGAAGAATATGATCTGTTAACAATAGACCTAAAGTGAGACATTTAATATTGTGTTGAGTTTGTGGTATTATTGAAGAACAGAATCAATTGAATATTAATGAATTAATTCTTGAATCATTATCTTCATTCGATGATATTATTACTAAATCAACATATTGTGTAAAGATACTATTTCGAGCCAATTTATCAAGTCTTTGATTGATTTCTATGATTGAATATAATATATCGATATTATTGAGTTTTTCAAAAATGGTAAGCAATATATCGTCGCATAGATCGACGATATTAACTGTTGAATGATTCATGTGCAATGAGAAATGTCGTCAATTTCCATCTATCTATCTATACATATATATGGTGATGTAAGAAATCGTTGAGTCAATAAATCTCATAAACGACCACTGTCATCTAAATGTATTCGTTTAAATGTACGAAGAATTTTAACAATATTAATGATAATATATTTCGTTTTAATAAATTACTCCTAATAGTATATATCGATTGAAAAAGTAAAATGATTTCCAGCTAATGTACGATCTATAAGGCCAAGAAAGTTATTTACATATATACTTGTATTAATTTTTCAAATAAAAACAATAATAATCATCATGCTTTTCGTATATAATCAAGCATATTAAGAATATGTATCCATTGTAATAATAATTGAAGGTATATATTCACTTAAAATGGCTGAATATGAAAATGTATCAAGACGATGTACAGTTTCATCATGAATTAAGAATTCACGAAAACTATTTAGAATTGTTTAGCTAAAATAAAATTAGAAATCTTATAAAATCATAGAAATTTTAAAGTCAAAACGAAAAGCAGCTGATTTTCTATCATTGATAGTCAGTTTTTATCTATTTAGCTTTTTCTCCTAAAGTTTCACATCGATATTTTTAAATCAATCATATTGATCGAAAACTTTTGCGTGCTTATTCATAACTATACGTGAGGTTTCTATTGCTTGACTATCATATTCATATCTACAAATAAATTATTATTTTGATTCATTACCATTATCGATAATATCCATAAATAAACATGTAAATTAATGTCATTTCGATTTTGTACAAGACATCGAACAATTCTAATTATATTCATTAACCATTGATTTGAAGGTTGGCGATTGATATTCTAAAAAAAAAATTTTAACTTTAGAAAAGTTTCATAAGTAACAAAAAAACAAGACGAATCTTTCTATTTGCTAATGCTCGCAAAAATAACAATAAATGGATCAATTAATCAAATCATAATTCAAACAATGATACAAAAATAGAATTTGTTAATTATGTAGAATAAATATTCATAAGTGATTGATCCTATCTGAAACAAAAAGTAAAGTGAAATCCAAGGTTATCAAAGGAAGAAAAATAACCTTAGATGACGCAATAGTAACATGTAATTATAAATCAACAAAACGTATATTACTTGAAAATATTTTTTTTTTCTTTTCTTCTTACTATAGGTTGTAGGTAATGTTTACTTGCTTTTAAGGAATTTTGCAAGACGATGATTTGATGATTTATCATAGTTTGCTAGTTTCTTCAATCATTTCAAGTTTATTGATAATACGAGTAAGAAAATTCTATTAAAAAATATGCAATAGATTACACATACAAGAAATTTTATCAGTCTTTAGTATACTATAATTAAGATTAATTAAAAGTGATTGAATAAATGAATCGAGTACAACAACTTGAAAATCACTTTCGTTCGTGTCAACATATTTTTATAGGATTACTTTTTTAGTTAAATAAAAACTATAAAACAGAATAGATCGAATTCGTGTTTTTTTTATCCTCATATTGAAGTATTTTCTATGGATTGGTATATGAAATAATCCAAATGAATAAATCATTGGTTATCGAATGCTTATTATATGAATATTAATTAAAGAATTGTTTAATAGTACTTGTAAAGAAATATTTGAAGATTTAATAAAATCTAAATTAAAAAAATATTTTTAAATGAATTACACTTTTTCATTATTCTTATGCTAAGATAAATCGAAAGACGTGACATTTTCATCAAAAAAGAAGCAATTTTCTTTAAGATATTTCAGAAACTTTAATTATAAGATTTCCATATACATTTATCTACGTGAATAAGTTTCCGATCCTCTATATAACATTCTAAAATTTTTAGCTGAATCAATAAATAAAAAATTTGAACGAAGTTTTGTGTATGTTGAATAGTTGGGTGTGAGTGTGAATGTTAATATTTTCTTCAACCCGCATCCTGTATATATAAGGTGAATATTTTCTTTTTCGACGACGACGACGACATTATGTCGATCTACGTCAGACGAGAAAAAAAAGGATAATAAAACATACACATATCACTACATAAAAATTGATCATCAAATCAATTATGTAGAGTTACGTGTTGAACATATCAATTCACGTATGTGGAATGATTGATAAAAAATCAATCAATCAACCATAGGGTATATAAAAACATCGATGCATCATCATAAAACATTACATTTATGTTTTCTCAATATGATGCATTATAATGTAATTATATACCCGGGTACATTATTTATTATTATATTATTTACAACGATAATGATATTATTATATTTTAAATAAGGTAAATTACTTGCCTTTATATTTAACAATACTTTTTCTTTGTTCTTTCGTTTTAGATGAGCTACGATACAATACAACATTAAAAGATAGAAAAAAAACCTTTTTTTTCAGTCAAGATTGAGTGTTAAGTTTAGGTTATCTCATATATGTAGAAGCATGTATGAATATATATGAAATTGAGTCTTAAAAAAAATTCCAGATGGAATTAATTTCTAAAGTCTATGCATACATTGAGTTGAGTTCAGAATAATTATTCGAGAAAAAAAATACTATCAGTTATTATGAGTATGAGTACTGTTGAGATGAGTTGAGTTATAAATGTTATCACTGTGAGTCAGATAGCTACGCTGTCTGATTCAACAGGGACAGGAACTTTGCCATAGCGAAGCAGTGTAGCACTAGGAAAGGCCTCTGTATGCCGTTGGTCCCTACCGTTCATATGGCATACCTTTGGCCATTGCCCTACCAGTCCGGCGTGGTCCGCCTGTGCTACCTATGGCATTGACAAGGGATCTTTCCCATGTCGCGCGCGCGGGTAAGCCAAAATGAGCCGAGAAAAATCGAAACGATTAGCAATGTGAATAAATTTATTGAGCAAGCCAAAAAGAAAAAATTAGTTACATTTTCTTTTTTACATTGTCAATTGAGCTTGTGACAGCTTTAATATTAGGATGGTTAGGTGGAAGTGATTTTTGGAAGATAACAAGTGCCTTTTCTAAGAATGAGAGTGCTTTTAAGTAGTCACCTTTGCCGGAATACGCCATACCGATATTGTTGTAGGAAGTAGCCAATGAGGGATGATTCGAAGGCAGAGCGTTTTTCGTGATTTCGAGATCTTTTTCGTAAAATTCAAGTGCTTTCGAGTAGTCACCCATGTTGTTATACACTCCACCGATGTTGCTGTAGGAAGTAGCCAATGAGGGATGATTCGGAGACAGAGCTTTTTCGAAGATTTTATGTGCTTTTTCGTAAAATTCAAGTGCTTTCGAGTGGTCACCCATGTTGTCATACACCGAAGCGATATTGTTGTAGGAAGTAGCCAATGAGGGATGATTCGGAGACAGAGATTTTTCTTTTATTTTAAGTGCTTTTTCGTGAAATTCAAGTGCTTTCGAGTAGTCACCCATGGTGTCATACACGAGACCGATGTTGTTGTAGGAAGCAGCCAAATCGGGATGATTCGAAGGCAGAGCTTTTTCTCTTATTTTAAGTGCTTTTTCGTAAAACTTAAGTGCTTTCGAGTAGTCACCCATGTTCTTATACACGAGACCGATGTTGTTGTAGGACAGAGCCAAATCCGGGTCATCAGGAGACAAAGCTTTTTCTTTTATTTTAATTGTTTTTTCGTAGAATTCCACTGCTTTAGAGTGGTCACCCATGTTATAATACACTCCACCGATGTTGTTGTAGGTATTAGCTAATGAAGGGTGATCTTCTGGAAGAGTTCTTCGATAGATTTCGAGAGACATTTCGTAAAATGAAGCTGCTTCTGTATATTGCCCTTTGCCATATTTCATCATTCCAAGCATATGATAGATATGTGCTTTATCACTGTCGTTAGGAGCCTGTTCTAGTAGTGCCATGTACAATTCTTCGGCCTTGTCAAATTGACCAATTTTGAGCAGTAAGTGACCCATTCGATACCATCCAGTGCCGTTGACCTCTTCTCGTATGCGGTCGGTTAATTGACGAAGTTGTTGATCATCATCTGAGGTAAGTTTAAGATCCACTTCATAAAGTGGACTTTTCTTATCAAGTTTTCGAATGTCACCAATTCGAAAAACGCTGTGCATCGTGAAGAGAATTTCCTTTTCGCCCTTGTAATAACTCACCTCTTCGATGGAGGCGAAAGGAGTCGTTGAAATTGTAGGATCAATAATTATTTGAAAGAGAATACCGACCATGTCGGTTGAGCGTAAAGAGTTATCGACGAATTCAATTGAGACATCACGATTTTTGCTGGTAGATAAGAAGTTGTTAAAAGAAATAAGCCCGCCTTTATTATTTGCGAGCTTTTCAAAATCTGTTTCCGAAAGATTTTGTCCTCGAAAGACTGTAAAGACCGTTCCATGATATTGACTGACCTGTTCTTTGTGCAAATGTTCAATTTGTCGATGTATATCACATAAAAAAAAGCCCATGCGAATCATAATATCGCCGTTGAGTGTCCGTAGTGCACCATTTAACATTTTGTATGTAAAGCATTCTCTTGTATACCACCATATGGCATTGGATGCTTGATATGCACGTTGAAATTCATGAATAATTTTCAATTCTTTGTTGTTATCTTTGTATTCTTGTTGGCAATATGTAACTAAATCTTGAATAGCATTTTGATCATGTTCTATTTCAAGGAGTATTTCCTTGAATATTTGTGAATACATAAAAGTAGGTTCTAGCTGATCAAGATTTTTACTAGAACCTCCTTCAGTCAGACTAACAATGCTCACCGGTATATTGTCCTGGTTGCATTGTTTGATAGCCATTTTCAACTTTTCGCAAATGTGTTTGATGGATGTGTGAACACCTTTGATCTTTGCATAATTTTGAGTCCATTCTTTATGTCGTTGTTTGTTGCCACAAAATATAAATATGGCATTTAATTTTGTCATATCATGAATTGTTGGCACTAGATGTTGGCCAATTGCACCAGAAGAGATAACAAATGAAATCTCCTCTGGATTTTCGTTCAATACCCAGTGAAAAATATTCACGAAAAAAACGGCAAAGAACGCGTTCCATTTTTGTAGAAAACTTTTTTTAAGAAAAAAAACGCTCGCTATAAAAAATGGAACGCGTTCCTAGATCAGCTTTTCCTATGAGAGCCCCGAAGAGTTCGAAATGATTAACAAAACCTCTAAGGAGCTCTTGAGAAGCCAGAAAAAAGACGAAAAATCCTTGTAGATTGCCTAGGAACTCCAAAAATTCCTAGGCAGTCTACAAGGATGTCTCGTCTTTTTTTCTGGCTTCTCAAGAGCTCCTTAGAGGTTTTGTTAATCATTTCGAACTCTCCGGGACTCTCATAGGAAAAGCTGATCTAGGAACGTGTTTTTCACGAAAGAATTTAAAAAGGAATTTATTAGATTTCTATGTCCTTACAGCAATATTTAACGAAGATAAACTGGGACATCACTTAATCCTTCTACTAGATCCATACACCCTATCTGAGAAGCCTATCCTTATCCAAAACATAGTCAACAGAGAAAAAATTTCTCAATCTACTGCATCTGAAGTCACTGGTCACTATCTATAACTAAAGTTCACGGAAAAAACTGATTGCTTCTATTAAGATGGAATCAAACTGAAGTTAAAACTAAGTGTATCTCCAATAGATGGGAAAAATGATTATTCATATTAGAATGGAATAAAACTATAGAAAAACTAACTCTATCTCTCCGAGATGAGAAAAATGTTTTTTTTTTATTAAGATGGAATGAAGACTAAAGAAAAACTATATTTCTACTAAGTCGGAAAAATAATTCTTTTTATTAAGATTAGGAATGCTGCATTAGCATCGCATTAATTTTAATGCTAACATCAATTTTCTTTTGTTACAATCCTAAGACAAAAGTATTGCACTTTGTATTGATTAATGTAACGTTAAAGTGGAGCAGCATCCCTGGCTAGTTTTGAGTTTTTTATTACAGTTGGAATACAAAGGCATTATAGCTATCATCTAATTAATACAATTGTTGAATTAGTTTGTCAGTAGCTGCAACGTTTTTGTAGTCCAATTGTAACAAAATCCTTGAAAACTAGTCAGGAATGCCGCTTCGCTTTAACATTACATTAATCAAGACAAAGTGCAATACTTTTGTCTTAGGATTGTAACAAAAAAAATTGATGTTAGCATTAAAATCAATGCAATACTAATGCAGTACCCCTAGTAAGATGGAATGAAAAAGAAAGAAAAACTAACTCAATCTCTACTAGGTGAAAAAACTGATTATTTATATATTAAAATGGAATAAAGACTAAAGAAAAAACAACTCTATCTCTACTAAATGAGAAACGTGATTTTGTTTTT